TCAATCATAAATTCTCCCCAAACTGGAACCTAACAACATGTCCTTGACTGGAGAAGAGATAAGCAGACGGTGGTACCAGCCAGACCCTGGAAACCCATCAGCAAGAGAAAGGAATGAGCTTCCGGCGCACACAGGAACATGGATGGATCCATTTCAAAAGCGTTATGCTGAGTGAGAGAAGCCATAAAGAAAAGACTACGTGATAAAGGATTGTGTGGTTATGACTTTCTGGAAAAGGAAAAGTTACAGGCACGGAAGACAGACCAGAGATAGCATTCTGGAAGCGTGAGCAGAATTTGACATAATGTCCCAAGATCTCACACAGCAGAGGACATTTTTGCCTGTGCAGGAAGAGGGTAGTGTGAGCATGAGGCAGCTTTCTGAGGCGATGGAAACACTCAGTATCTTGATTTTAATGGCTGTTACGTGACTTTCTATCTTAGTCAAATCTCATTGAACTATACACCTTAAAATGGTGGATATCCTGTGTATAAATCAGACCTCAATGAACAAAAAAGGTCGGGTTTATAGCACGGTGCAGGCTTTCAATATGAGAACAGAATCAACAAACATAAAGAAGTACTTGTTGGAAGAAGGATGGAATGAAGTAAAAACTGGATTTTGGGTTGATATCGATAACAGTTTTTTTAAACAAAAATTTATTTATTTACTTGAGACCTAGAGAGAGCACACAGGAGGGGTAGAGGGAGGGGGAGAAGCAGACTCCCCATTGATCAGGAAGCCCCACACGAGTCTCAAAAGGGGCTCAATCCCGGGACCGTGGGATCATGACCTGAACTGAAGACAGATGCTTAACCCTCTGAACCACCCAGGTGCCCCAAGGTTGATAGCAATTTTATGTGAATATAATTTTGTGGGTAATTTTTGCGATCTTTTTCCATTTCTTGGGGGATAGTTGGACAATAGAAGCTGATGATACAGCAGGCTGAGTCACAGGTGTACCAAACCTCCAGATACAGAAGGGGTCTCTATGCAATTGTGTTTAAAGACTCAGAAAAAAAAAAAAAAGATTCTTCAGTCATAATTTTTAAGAAGAAAAAAATCACTTTGTGGGGGGTGAGGAGAAGGAATATGGTTTCAGGGCATCAGAAGCTCTACATCATTTTTCGGGCTATCCATGGGAAACGAGAAGTGAGACAGACTAAGTCAGAATTGCACAGCAACTTAGTGGCTGCCCAGTGTAACTTGAGAACTAGCAGTTTGGAGAGCACGCTAGTCCCCCCTCATCCTGAGAGTCAGGGGTGAGCAGGGCGGGCAGGCAGGGTAGAAAGTATAGAAAAAAATCAGACACAAAGAAAAGATGAGGGGGAGGAGAGGAAGAGAGAAACAGCGGAAGCCTAGAGAGAAGGAAAAGAAGATGGAGGAGGAGGAGGGCAGGAAGAGGAGGAGAAAGAAGAGAAAAAGGAGGAGAAAGGAGACGTCACTGTGAAGGGAGGTGTCCAGTGTTCTTTGCAGTTACTTCCGGTGTCACTCATTGGTGTTAGTTTTTAACCAGCTTGCCTCTGAGCTTTCCGTCTTCAGGGCTGACCTCTCTCTTGACTAGTTGTATATTAAACAGAATGTAAACAATAACTGCTTTAAAATGGTTTCGTGCCAATTTTCATTTCTTTAGCCAAGGTAAGTGTTGCCTTTGACCTCAGTTCTTTCTCAAAGGCACATGGTTTTACAAAGGGACTTTTCCGTGCCATGAGGTTGTTCAACACACGGGGCTGAGGAGGATGTGAAAGCCCTGGTCCTTTGGGGGCTCTGCCATCCCCTGTTTTTGTGGACTTTCAGCCTGCGGCAATCTCCTGGTTTATCCAGGCCCACGGACCCCCAGGGTTTGGAACATGGCTCCTTGTAGTGGCTTCTTCCTGTCCCCTGAGTGCTGACATCGGGCAGAGGTAGTAAAAAAGGGACCAGAGCAGGGTCTGAGGGTTTGGTAACTAGAACTGATGGCTCGGAGGCTTCACAAAGTCCAGCCAGAGAATAGGTCCCTGCCCAGTGGTTTCCAGGCTCTTTTCACTGAAGTACATGCTAATATCTGTGTTTTATTTACATCAAGATGGCTATACTCAAGTCCATATCCAAAATAAAGGTTTGGGGAATTAGTGCTTTTTTATTATTTGAAGGATTCTGTGTTTTTTTTATTCTCCCCTAGACGATTCAATTTCGTTAACAACAACAAAAATGCATGTGCAGACCTACTGATGGCACACGCATTAATATTTCTGCGGTTTGGAGAACACTGACCCGGAGCTGGGCCCCCAGAGTGTGGTGAGACAAAGACCGCTCCCAGCAGGACCACCCAGCAGTGGGTGGTTCCTGGTATCCATGACAACTCTTGAATCTCCCGGAGATGGTGCCTGAGACTTTGCATTTTAACTACATGGCTAGGCGACTCTATGCTCACCCAGGTTTGGGAACCACTGGCCCCGGGGGAGCACATAGGCTGCTCCTAGCAGAGGCTTCCAACTCTGATCTGTGGAGCCCTGCGGATGCCCCTCGGGGAGACATCTACTGAGCTGCTCCTCCTGATCTGCGTAAAAGTTCATGTGCCAAGTCGTTTCTGCGTCTCAAAGAAAGATCTGAAATTTGGGGGAAAGAAAATGCATGTGATAAGGGTTTTGAGTCTTCATCTCCAGAAATAAAAATCTCGGTTAAGTTCTGTCTGCCAAAGGGAGAATCACGGAAAGGGAATGGCTCCCTTTAGTGGTAAGGAAATGTTACAGAACACTTTGCTTCATAGACACTGGTCCTAATTCAAGGGGAGGCTCTTTAGAAATGCAGCTTCCCAATGTGGGAGATACTGAACAGTTTAGCAAAAACTTAAGAATCGTGTATTAGAATCCGTATGTTGAAAGATTGTTGTCAAACAAGGCATGCTTATGACCTCCAAGGAGAAGAAACTTTTTTTCTTGGGAAATGGATTTTAATGTATACCACTTGTCCCTAGAGTACCCTAGTCTTTTTTTTTTTTTTTTTAAGATTTTGTTTATTTATTTAGAGCGAGAGTACAAGCAGAGGGAGGGTCAGAGGAAGAAGGAGAGAGAGAATCTCAAGCAAAATCCATGCTCATTGTGGAGCTGGACGTGGGGCTTGATCTCAAGATTGAGATCATGATCTGAGCAGAAATCAAGAGTTGGCCACTTAACCAACTGAGCTATCCAGGTGCTCCTAAAGCATCATAGTCTTAGGGTGCCTGGATTGCTTGGTGGGAAGAGTATGTGACTCTTGATCTCTGGGTTGTGAGTGCGAGTCCCAGTTTGGGTATAGAGATTATCTAAATAAATAAAGAAATCTTAAAAAAAATTTAAGTACAGGGGGCACTCTGCCTTCGGCTCAGGTTATGATCTCAGGGTCCTGGGATCGAGCCCTGCATTGGGCTGTCTGCTCAGTGGGGAGCCTGCCTCCCGCTCCCTCTCTGCCTGCCTCTCTGCCTACTTGTGATCTCTGTCTGTCAAATAAATAAAATCTTAATAAACAAATAAACAAACAAATAAATAAAGTACCATAGCCTTTTAGGAACACTATAATCAATTAATTGTCTTATAAAAATATGTGTATGTGTGTGTGTGTGTATTTTAAAATGAACTACATGCTATATATTTTTTTCTTGTACTGAGCAGTCTATATGTAAGCACGAATATGTGTATAGACAGGAGACACACACACACACAAACATATTTTTTTTCTTGTGAATCCTCAATTTATTATTTGCCTTTAGAAAATAAAGACTAAATGCTAAAAAAAGTATAAGGAAAGGAAGTTTAATTTTTAAGAAAATCTTGACTTTTTTAAAAATAAAAAATGATTTGTAAGTGGTGGTAGAAGATGAAGAAAATAGGTGAAGGGGATTAAGAGTTACAAACTTCCGGTTATAGAATGAATAAGTCACTGAGATGAAAAGTACAGTGTAGGGAATACAGTCAATAATATTGTAATCACTTTCCATGGTGTCAGGTGGAGAGTACACTTATTCTGGTGAGTGCGGTTAATGTACAGAATTGTGGAATCACTATGAGGTGTATCTGAGACTAATATAACATTGTATATCAATCATACTTAAATAATAACAATGTTAAAAAATGATTTACAAGGAAGAAAATATCTACTACTGTTGACCAAAGAACATACTGGTTAGGGCAGAATATGATTCTGTATTCTGGTTCAAAGGGAAGTTGGAACTGTTCTTGCTGTTATTGATATGTGAGTGATTAGATATAAAAGTCAAGGCTGAAGTCAAAACTGAGGTGAATGGTTTTAATTCTAGGCAGGAGGTCATAATCAGCCCCAAAGAAGCAAATGCAGATTTTTCAAAAGATCTTCTGACTTTAGTAAAGCACCTGTGAGTCAAGGATCTGGCATTAGGCTTTGCTATGTAGAAATGTTCCATCCTTCTGTACCTGGGTCTCCTGGGCTACCTTTGACAGCCTGGGCTTGGACTCACCCCTCATATCCACACACTGCAGCTTTCCTGTTCTACATCTCCTCTAGGAGGACACCTGGTGCCTTTGACTAGTCCAATAAACCAATCCCCTGAGAGGTACCACTGAGGATAAACTCAGAGCTGCCCCCTCTCCACCATCACCACCAGCAGCTTGCTATGACCATCCAGAGATATATCTAACTTCCAAAGTGGTGGCATTCTATCTAACTTAACCCTATGAGTTATGTTTAACTTACGAAATATTCCACGAGCAGGGATATGGGGCCAGCACCAAGGGAGGAACACAAGGCCATGATAGAGATGTTTGGGATTGGCTGTATTTTGGAGCAGGTTTCCCTAGCTTGCATTTTTCTCAGAATCAGGCTATATAAATGGCTCCTTACTTCCCTTACTTCACACATCTATCAGAGACTGCATGGGAGATAAGACTGAGATCCAAATGCAATCCGAATTTTAGCTAACTACCAATTTCATCTATATGTTTGACAAATTAACAGGTTGTCAGAAGACCAACTCAAATATGACATTGTTTTCTGTTCTCTTAAAAAGGAAGCCTAGATAATGAAAAGTCATTTATTCTTCAGCCTTTGCTTCTTGTGGACTTGAGTCAGGCACATTCCAGCAATGGGCACAGGATAGGATTCCTTTCTCTGGAGGGCTGGCTGGGAATGAATGGCTGGAAAATGATGTTGAAATTCTTAGAGGGGCCTGAAGCCTAAGGTATCTACTCCTTGGTCCGATGAAGACATGCAAGCACCTTTCGTAATACGACAATAGAGGAGAAATTTTTATGGATGAGCTTATTTCAGACCTTAGAAAATCCAGTATGAGGCAGCAGGACTAGTGAAACATGCACTTAGCTGAGGCTCAGATATCTCAGATCTAGCCATGCCTCTGCCATTCATTAGCTAGGGAAACTTTGATAAAGCATGAAACTTACCTCAGCTTCATAGTCTTAGGGTGCCTGGCTGGCTCAGTGGGAAGATTATGTGACTCTTGATCCCTGGGTTGTGAGAGGTAACTTTCTCTCAGACCTTATTTCCTCACCTGTAAAGCTCACCTGAGGTGTTTGGGTGATGTAATCTTTGGAGTCTCATTAAGAGCTGATGATTTATGGGTCTGAGACTCTTAGTTGTCAACAATCTCACCAAGATAAAACCTTTCAGAAAAGATTATTTCAGGCCACCCTTATTAAAGGATGCTGCTGAGGGACAAAGGGAGACCTTCGGTCTCAAGATGGTCTTCTACTGTGTTGTGAGGAAATATTTTTCAGTTTTCACTTTCAATCTAGATTTCATAGCATCTATTCTTTTTTGGAAGGTCCAAGTCTTCTCCTCAGTCTCCTCATGGATGACTTCATCTCCTGGTTCCTCAGGGTGTAGATCATGGGGTTCAGGACAGGGATGATGACCGTGAAGGTGATGGAGACGGCTCTGTCCATGGGGAGGGCAGTGAAGGGCCGGGCATAGACATAGATGCAGGGCACAAAATGCAGGGTCACCACAGTGATGTGGGAGGTGCAGGTAGAGATGGCTTTCCTTCTGCCCTCCCCAGCGTGAGTCCTCAGCATCATCAAGATGACTGTGTAGGACACAAGAAGGAAGACAAACCATAGTGTAGAGATCAAACCATTGTTGGAAATCATTAAGACCTCAAGAGCAAAGGTGTTGGTGCAGGCGAGTTTGAGGACCTGGGGGACATCGCAGTAGAAGCCATCAACGACATTGGGTCCACAGAAGGGGAGGGGCAGCAACAGGGAAATCTGCACGATGGAGTGGACAAAGCCCCCCACCCAGGAGGCCACAATGAGGACAGTGCATCGCCCCCTACTCATGATGGTCACGTAGTGCAGAGGCTTGGAGATGGCCATGTAGCGATCAAAGGCCATGACAGAGAGAGAAAAAATGTCTGCCCCACCGAGAAGGTGGAAGAAGAACATCTGAGTGATGCAACCATTGAAAGAGATGGTCTTTGTCCTTGACAGAAGGTCCACGAGGACCTTGGGAGCAGTGATGGAGGAGAAGCAGATGTCCAAGACTGAGAGATTGCGGAGCAGGAAGTACATGGGGGTGTGAAGGCGGGACTCACAGGTAACAGTGACCATGATGAGGACGTTTCCCATCACAGTTGACATGTACACCAAAAATAACAAAGGAAATAAGAGCAAACTCAGCTCTCGGGACTGGGTCAGTCCTTGAAAAATAAATTCTTTCACTCTGGTGTAATTTCCCTGCTCCATTGTATCATATTTTTTCTTCTTCAACTACCTGGGGAGAAAATAAGAGTGGATTTCCAAGGGAGGTAATTAATCGAAGCACTGAAATCAGCATGCTATTAAATTCTTATTAAAATTTTTTACAGTTGCATAATTTTACATATTCTATATCCTTCTTGAAAAGCCACTAGGTGGTCTGAGAAGTGAGGAGAACAGTTTTGTTTTTCAATGAATACTCCTGTATCTAATTGTTAGGAAGTTGGAAACACACAGGGGAGAAGTATAAAACACGGTCTCATGGAAGCTTAGAGAATCTTCTCTCATACTGTTCCACATATATTGGAACACATATTGGAACATACTGTTCCAATTTGGCATAGTCTGTGCAAAATTTGATAGTACTTGATGATCAGCACTGTTAAGAAAAAGTTTCCAGTTTGCTTTCCCCCCACCCCGGACAAACAGGTTTGCAGCTGCTAACACGATTCGGGCACATGCTGCTTTTGTTTTCAGTTTTTCTTCTCCTTGGTGTCTTCTCTTTTGTCCATGGGACTTGGCAAGTGATAGCTACAGTCCCTGCTCCTCATAATTCCCTTGGCAAAGACTTTATCACCCGGGTCACCAGACAAATGTCTTTTTCTTAGGCTCACTCCCTTCTCATCACCTACACTTGGATGGCACTTCCTCTCACCTCGCTACTTGCAAAAGCTTCAGGTTTGTGCAAAAATCACAGATTTTAGAACCAGTAGATCTGAATTTGAATATAGAATCTGTATTAATTGAGTAGGTAGCTCATTCATAGCTGACTCTGAGTTTCTGTTTAATCATCAGTGAAAGTGGGTATAATCATGTTTGTGTCATAGGGCTGTGAAGTTTGAATGGATTTGTTTCATTCTTTAACCTGCATTCTTTAATCTGCAGACCACAGGTCCCTTCACACAGCAGCTGCTGGCATTTTCCAGAGCCCGTCTTCTCTATCGCGTTATTTGGGAGATGCTGTTATGCTTTTCCTATGAAAGATAGTTTTTTGAAATAATTACAATGAGGACCAAATGTAGCATTTAAAAAGCAGATATGTCCCATACAATGGAGTATTATTCAGTTCTAAAAAGAAATGAGCTGTCGAGGCCGTGGGAACAGAGAGGAACCTTAAATGCATATTGCTAAGTGAAAAAAGGCCATTTGAAAAGGTATACACTGTATGACTCCAACTATATGACATTTTGGAAAAGGCAAACTGTAGTAGAAAGATTAACGGTTACCAAGAGCTGGGGTGTGCAGGTGGGGAGGGATGAGTAGGTGAAGCAGAGGGGCTTTTTAGGGATTTTTATACATGGCACCATGCATGTGTCAAATCCACAGAACACACAACACTAAGAATGAACCCTAATACAAACTAAGGACTTTAGTTAATAAATAAAGTGAATATTTACAATAAGCACTGCTTTAGGCAGCTTTTGCAGTTTTGTCAACTGCTTACAATAAAATCGCCCTTTGTAGCTCGCTCTCTCTTAAAAAAAAATCAGCTTTGTTAAGGAGTAACTTGCGTATAATAAACTGTACATATTTAAGGGGCACAATTTGATGCACAGACACATGAGCACACCTCAAAATGAAATGACCTCATTAAAGGTCCCAAACTCGAATCCCTACCTGTGAAGCCATCCCTACAATTAGGATAAGGAACATCTCCATTCACTCCCTGTGCTCTGGAGAACTGTGGAATTCTTGGCACATAATGTCTCTACCCAAACCTCTGCACCAAGACAGGACCCAAGTTTATCAGGCCCTGGGACAGCAGAGGGCTACGTCCTCAGGATATCCCCAGCCCCCTGTTAAAACGCCTACCTGAGAAAGCACAGAGCTGCCAGGAGAATTTACTGTCTGTTCCAGCTGACATGTGGACATATAGGCCCTGACCTCCCTTTACTAAAAAGGGCTTGCAATCATGAACATGGATTTCTTGCAATGCAGTTTTTCTCAGGCACCTGAGAACTGTTCCTTTGAACGTGCTCATCAGGAAGAACCAGCCTCTGTCTCCTTGTCTACGCGAGGTCAGAATCCTGACTTCCCTAACTGCTGGCTAGCAGACAGATCAGAACTAGTCTCACAGATGCTGACCAGCCCCTTGCCATCATTCTCTTCCCCGACCCTCTCCTTTTGCTCATTCCTGTCCAGAATGCCTGCTGTTACCGTTGTGCAAATGAAGATGGAACTCACTTTTTTCCCCAGCTCCAAGTACTTACTGGTCCTTGTCATCACTTAAACTAATATTCAGGTCTGACACTGCGTTGTGCTCCTTCCCTCAGTATTCTGTCCACACTGACGCCAGGCCAGGCCTGCTGTGCGGGATGGGGCTCTCTGCTCTCACTGGACTTTCTCTCTCATTTTCTCTTCAGAACAGAGCTGCTCCTTCACTAACTTTCCGTTCTCTTTCCTTTGAAGCCCAAGCCACAAACACTCATTTTCTAGGCTTTCTGCCAACGATCTATTGACCCATCAGTAACTCTCAGAGAATTTCATTGCCTTCAAATCTTTTTTGTTTTTAAAAGGGCCAGACATCTTCTTCAGAGTAAAGATTTTTTAAAAAATCTTAAAAATAAAATGATTTTTTTGAGTGTAAACATGTAAAACATGTAGTGTTTTAGAGAAAGCACAGAGGATTTTGTTTTATTTTGAACTATGGCATGGAGTAATGTGGTGCAGAGGAAGGACACCAGGTTGGGAACAGGAGCTCCAGTTGCCTTCACGGATCGACAGTGGAATCCTTAAAGGCAGTGAACTCCAGGAAGGTCAGTCCTATCATCAATGAAATGGGAGTATTTGCTGCCTTAAGTCCTTTTGAAAGTAGGCGAGGTCTGCACAGCACAGAACAATATTAAGTGGACCCATTGATCTGGGTAATTTCTAGGCCTTTGGAGCTTTAATGCTGAATTATTCTAAATAATATAGCCTCAATTACCTTATGACTAGTCAAGACTGTATGTTCTGCCCATTGCCTACCAACAGTTAATAATCCCAATTAACTTCAGATTGTTTCTTGATATTTAACTATAAGCTGACTGGTGGTGGCAAGAAAAATTGCTCATGTCAAGAATTCTCAGGGGCAGTTGGTCGTAGCTGTTGAGAGAATGGGCTTTGAAACCCACATGCATGAGGTTCTGTGCAGATGTTATTCATGAGCATGACCAAGTCATCAAAATCATCAAGAAATACTCCAAACGTGCTCTTCTGAACACCAAAAGGTGCTCCTCTGTGCACAAAAGGGATGTGGAACTAGGAACCTAACACATGGAGAAAGGGAGGATGACAGGGAGCCCCAGTGTATGGATATGTCTGCTTGGAACAAAAAAGAAGAAAGAAAACAGACAAGTGTCATTTATACGTTGGATTTTGTTTTTGTTTTTGGCAAGAACAAACTCAAGATCCCAAAGTTCTTCTTCAGAATCTTGTCTGGGTAGAGCCACCTTAATAAATCAGGCTTACTGAGTGGCATGGAATCCCCAGCTTGGGGGAAACCCCAGCCCCACTGTCTAGCACACATTGCTGCCCCCCTTTCCATCTCTTTACAACTGATTTCTCTGTATGCTCTCCAAGCCACCTTCCTTGTATCAAAGAATGTGTTCCTCTTCTCATCATCACTATGGTTTCTAGCTTTAATATACATAATAGAATATACAGGAGCATTGTTAATATTCAAAACACTTTTGTAATTCACAGTGACATTTCAAAACTGCTGGGGCATGGCCCCATATGCACAGACACATGAGCACACCTCAAAATGAAATGACCTCATTAAAGGTCCCAAACTTGAATCCTTACCTGTTAGAAGTAGAGCTGGCCATTCGGCTGCATACACTGACCTTAGGAGACACTAACTGTCAAGGAATATTCTCCTTTAAGGCAGATATGCATCTGAGGGTTGGTTGGGTCAGGATCTTCTTTCTTCCTGTCAGAGGCAAAGGGCAGCTCCAAGAATCATCTCTGTTTGGTACTACCACAGTCCTATCATGCTGCCTTGTGGTGCCCCTGACATGAGTACTGGTCTCAGCCCCAGAACCGGCAGAAGCTCACCAAAGGGAATTATTGTTGGATGTGGCTGCTAACTCAAATAGCCAGATTTTCCTTTTGGGACGAAGCTCCCTGGAGTGTTATTAAGAACTCATGCAGTGGAGGACACACTTTGGTTTTGCAGCTTTCCTAATGTAGGGGAGGAGATGAATCCTCCTAGACCTTGGGCTTAGAGCCCAAATATCTTTGCCTGAAGGGCTCACATGGGACAAACAGGAGTCCGCCTCCTTAAGAGGTAGGAACTCAGGGAAAATGAACAGAATTCCCAGTAGAGTGTATTTCAGCCCAATTTCCCCCAATTTTTTCCCAACTCATTCCAATTTTTTTCTTTCTAGGCCGATGGTTTGCTTGTTGTCCTATTGATATACATCAGAAGCATCATAAAGATTGGGAAATGCATTTCTCCTTGTTTTCCACCAAACTTCTCATATGAAGAGGGGATATAAGCAAATAAAAGATATGTTGGTACTATTCATTCATCAAATATCCAATTGCAAAATATTTATTGAGCATCTACCATGTTCTGGGCCCTATGATTCCAGAGGTCCTAAAAGCAGAAAGTTGCAATTTGCTTCTCATCTCATTCCCTATATCATTTTTGAAACCTTGTCTCTCACTATAGATCTATGGATGGTCTCACTTGGACATTGCATACCTCCAACTGAAAATGTCTACAGTAGGGGTGACTGGCTCGTTGAATTGGTAGCTCCTGTGACTCTTGATCTTGGGGTTGTGAGTTCAAGCCCCATGCTGGTTGTAGAGAGTACTTAAAAATAAAATGTTTTTAAAAAGTTGATCTGAGGGGTGCCTGGCTGGCTCAGTCAGAGGAGTATGTGACTCTTGCTCTTGGAGTCATGAGTTTGAGCCTTGCATTGGGTGTAGAGATTACTTAAATAAATAAACAAAAAAAATTTAAAAAATTAAAAAGTTGATCTGATCTGCTCATTTGATCTGATCATTGTTATTAATAAATAAATTCTTCTATTGCTGTAGCTGGCAGTATTATCTGCTTGTCCCAAGGGCTCAGTAGCTCTGAATCACCTCTGACATTCCTCACTACCCATTTTCTTTTGTCTCTTGTAACCTTTTCTGAATAAATTAATTTTTAGGTTTCTTTCATAATTTTCAATAGTTTTTCATAATTTACTTCTAGAATTTGCCAGTCCTGGCCCTGATATTCATGCTTTTGTACAGTCCCCTCCTCTTGTGTGTGGAGGGAATTTAGTGACTTGCTTCTAATGAATAGAGTACAGCAAAA